GGAGAGGAGAGAGTGAGTGTGCAAAGTAATACATATTATTATGTACCTCGCCACAAAGACAAGAATGGTAACATTCCTTTTAAACCTTTGCACTAAAATCTGGATTTTTCTTGCTCTTCAGAGCATTGTGTTTCTATAATGCTGAGCAAGAATGACTTTAGTGTTGATTGTTCACATGCCGCAAATTGAGAATTAAATTGTTTCATTTAGCAATACTCAAAATTCATGGCTATACTGGGGTAAGAATGTTTATATTTACGTTTGACGACTATCTGGGTGAGCATCATGTGGCTGGGACTGGGACGACTACGTTAAAACTTAATTTGGTTTTTAAAGAGGACAGCAAGAGGAAGTTACATGCCACTCCATTCGCACTGCTTGTTTCTGTCGCAAAATTGGAGTAAAATATCACAGTAAAGTTCAAAGATTTGAAAAAGACCTAAACTTCAAGGCAAATCGAGGAACAGAAATATGACGAATCGAAACATTCTAAGAGTCCTCAACAGAGAATGCGTGGGTGGTTATACGAGTTATACCTTTCGTATTACCCTCTCCGCCTATCTCTGTTTAATATCGCTTTTGTCCAAGGAGTATTGATCGTTATTCTGCCAAAATCCTTTCTTGTCTCAAGTCGAAGCTTAAGATTAAGATGACTAAGGGGTGTGGGGGAAATGAACAGGATTAATAAACATCATTTTTTTATCATTGTCAGCGCAACATTATTATTGGCCAACCCAATTTATAATATCGATACCTTAGTATAACAAAGTTCTATCTGACGTTTTGGCCGTTTTGAGTTACTAAGACCGTGAGGTCAGAAATGTAATATTGTATCTGCTCGATCAAAGTCGCAAAATTATTCCAAAGTCGTTATCAAGATATTCAAAGAATTGCATTGGAAAAGCTTGACATAACTGATGTGAAACTCAAACGTTTTAATGTCAAATTTCTCAAAAATAGGTACTGAACAGACAGAACTTTGTAATTCTATGGCAATTGGTAAATGTCATAGTGCTTTTCCATCATCTCAACGTTTCTCATGGTCCTCAGCTTCCATAGAGGACAGTGAGCTGGACGCTTCTGGGGTGTCCACGGACTTCCCTGTTAGGACGGTGGACTTGAAAGACTTACGCGGTAAAGGTAAATGCCTTTCTTCCTCTCTGTAGCTACCTTTCTCTAGTTCTTTCTGTTTCTCTCTCTTTCTCTTTCGTTCTCTCTCTCTCTCTCTCTCTCTCTCTCTCTCTCTCTCT